TTGGCTGTGCAGTTTCAACTCGTCCGTAGCAGGAAACAATGGTGGTCCTTGGTCACACACGTTCTCATATTACAGCTAAACAGTACAGTAATAGAATTTTAATTCATATTTGATCAGCATTGTCTAGTTTGACAGTTTGATTTGAGTTAGGTGCGTTGAGCTAGACAGACTCACTGAGAATGACTTGTCAGTCAAAAGGTAGACACGTCCAAAAGCATACCCTTCTTTATTATCTATTCTACACTTTAAGTGGACCATAATTTACAAAAAAGGCTTAAAACTACAACTGAGACCATAAACTCATTAGGAAACCGTTTACAGAGCTGTGAGAAGTCCTGGACGTAATTTCTTCATCAGACTGCATGGTATCAGTGTGTTATTTCAGCCAATGGAGCTGCCCCCTGCTGGTCATTACATAGAATGCAGGTTTAAGACACTTCCGCTTTGGACTTCGACTCCGGTTGCACCTAAGTCGCAAAAGGTGTGACTTGACTTCAGACTCATCTTCAAAAGACTTGAGACTTGACTCATGAACTATCTTAATTTTATATTTGTATTTTCGGCACATTAACATTAAGAAAAAATTCTGACGAGCTAAATGTCACTCCCTCCCTTATTAACACACATTGCAACGTAACACATTACTGTAATCACATTATATTTGTCTGTAATGCAGTACTCAGTAATCACATTAATCAAACAATTTTATGTCTTTACTTCCTTTACATAAGTTCTTCAATTATCTGCATAATGGGCAACTCCAACACTGAAGTCACAGATAGCTGTAAAGCTGCCGCAATGTCATTGTGAGCATATATGCAGCTGCTGTGGCATTTGTCATAACCTCTATAATAACTTCACACAGGACCCAATCTAAAGAATCACTAAATTTCTGCTGTATCAAAGAACGCTGAATCGACCACATCAAACTTTATTAGGCACCTGAAAAAAGCACCCTGTAGCACAGGTAGGGCTGGGTGCCAAACTTCAATGCATATGGAACTGACTTACTTCGATCCAGACCAGGTCTCATTATTTCCCAGTACCACAAATGTCACCCATCCACACAGTCATTCCTTTCTTCTTCTTTTTCTGCTTTGGGTTATGCAGACTAGACACTACAGTGACATATTGCCATTACTGTTTGTTATTAATGTTCCTTTTGACAGTTATTTATATTTTTAATATCTAATACTAATAATGACTAATAATGTCTGAAATAATACTGTAAGGATATTCCATCAGTTTCTTAATTTCCCATCTTTCTGCTTTGAAGTGAGTTATTGTCATTTTTATTTTTTTGAATGATTTATAATAAAATTGGTATAAAATTGTATTGTTTTGTTCAACAACCTGTATTGAAGTCAAGGTATCGGTACCCAAACAGGAATCAAAACATTTTAAACAATAGTCAGCCCTAAGCTTTGAATTTCTTAGGTATAGCTATGCAGTATTCTACTCAAACCAGATGGCATGCAGCAGATGATAGAAAGCTCATCACAACTGTAACCATTTTTAGACATAACTTGCAAAATTGACTCATGAGCATCTCTACTCACTGCAACTCTAACAAAAATATATGAATAATAATACAAACATAAGTATATTTTTAAAAACGGCTGCCAAACATGTAAAGTATACATGACTTTGTGTCTAAAACTTGAAAACATATGGCACTGCCTGCTGTGCACATAGAGTAGTACGTGTCAGTTGTGTCAATTTACCAAATTCAATGGAAAAAACAAACACACATAACTACTTGGTTAATGCTAATACATCACAGGACAGGATTGATTAAAAAAGGTGCATAATGAATGCAAATGACATGCAAATGACTTCATGTAAGTATGTTTTTTTATCGTGCTCCTGTGTATCACATACAGTACTGTGCAGTTAATAAATGGACCCTGAGCAATATGTGTATGTGTAAGCTTGGGTGTAATTCCTTTTGTTCATTTTCTCAGCCACTCAGGGCAATAAAGCTGCCTGCCAAACTGATACAAATCTGAGACTGAGACTGTAAGATTAGTAACATTGAGAACATTTGTATTACAAAAATGACAAGGTATCGCATTACCATATTTGGAAGAAACTGTCTCCAATACAATCATTAGTGACAGACTTTACTGAACTCATGAGCATAACCTCAGACGCTGAATTAAAATACCATCTAGAACAGTGTAACACTGCATTAAAGTACCATCTAGAACGGGTAAAGAAGTCTAGCTTGAAACAAGCTTTTTGCATGTGACATAACACAGTGGACGTGGAGAAAGAAAAGAGGGGGAGAAAGAAAGAGCGAGTACTTGACAGCAGCGTTTGGCTGGTCTCCTCAGTCACTGATGACGAGTGCCTGTAAAAAAAATAAATAAATAAAATTAGCAACACAGCGTCTCTGGTAAAATATAAAAATATGAAAGACTAATGAGGGGAGAGAAATGGGCCAGAGCAATAAACTGTTCAAGGGAGAGAGAAAATGGTTAAAGACAGGACGAAAAGTGCACAAAATTGGCGATTAACTTTAATAACGTAACAATCTCTAAGATGTTAATGACACATACATTTTACAATAAAAAAAACTTTATGAAGGTCAGCAACGGCTAATTGAGCTCAAGCTAGCTACAGAGCTTGCTTTCACTTAGCCAGGCAACCTGAACTAATGAAACAGACCTAATAAAACATCTGAAATGTCAAACAGTTCAATAATCATGCAGACAAAACAACACTGGACACTACCAATTTCGGGAGATAAGCATAACTTTACTTTACCTGCTCTGTTGAACTCCACATGGACTTCTCGAATGATATGACGGAGCTGTGCTCTCCAAAGTCAAGTTCAGGAATAGCCAGTTAGTATATTGTGTATATTGAGAAGGGATGTCTCCACTGCTTGACAGAAAATACTGTTTTATGCTGTTAAATTACAGTTTCTTATTGTTAACTGAGCATTAACTGTTAATTTACATGTAAGCATGAATATTTAACAGTATTTTACAATTATTTTAAAATACAGTAGGATACTGTTGTAAATACACCGTAAATATACAGCAATTCATTACAGTGTAGACTGCACATGCTCTTGTGCCCTTTCAGCCCATAGTGCTACACTGCTTTTTACAAATCATCAGAAAAACTGGTATGTTCATTTCAATGTAAAACTGAAACTGAAATGCACATAAATAATGAAATAACCAGAGTTTTACGTATATTTAACACATATTTTTCCATTGACTCCCTTGTTTTGTTTTCTTTGTTACACTAAACTGGGCCATTCTTGAATGGAAAACATCTGTGTCTGCACAGCTGGCTGTGTTTATAACGTCTGCTTAGACAACATTAAGATCAAGGGGAACAGCAATGGTAGGAACACTGATTTCTAATGAACAAAGGATCTCGAACCGTAACCCTCTTGGATTTTTCTCTGTTCTGTTTAATTTTGATTCTGCTGTATTGGCGTCATTTAGAGTGTGCACCTTGAGTATGCTATGAACAAATTTCAAATGACTAATGCTGAATGCTTATTCACCTAGAACTATTCATGGCCACATTCTCATATTGTCAACAATGTGATTCCTGTTCCTCAGAAACAAATGTTAAGTAGGAAATGTCATAAAACTGGATGACTATGGTTTCTACAGAATTTTGTTGCATTAAATCTACAGTTGTTATCTTGTGAAACAGAACAGAGTAACTTTTACAGGGTTAAGATAAGCTTCCGGGAAACTGATCCAGTGACATACCTTCCCACAGCACAGACAAAACTGAAGGTCAGAGATGAACTGCAGCTTTTTTAATTGTCTCATAATAATGGCACTCTGTCAAGTTTGTGTTTATTTTTCTAATGGTCTTTTTTAATATTGTAAAAAAGGGAAATTAAAATATTTCACAAAATTTTCTTTTCAAAGATGATGTTCTTGTCCACACCACAAGCTATTTCGTAAGTTGTCATATTAATATCCAAATATCCAATGTTTTGTTTTACATGTAAAAACATGTTTTACATTTACATGTAAAACAAAACTCATAACTCATAAATTATGTAATTCCAACAGACTTAACTAAAAGTTAGTATAGAGCAGCCCTGTCTCTGTTTGTATTCCCTGTTTGTATTTTGAAAGACGATATAATTGCTGCCTAGTATTGTAAGAGGATACTGTAGGGAAAATAAATTTCTTCCAAAAACGGAAAGGCCATTTCTATGATGTCTATGGTTCCCTGCCTTGAGAAGCATTGTTTGACTGTTTTAAACCCATAGCGGCACCGTGTGGCAAATGAGGTGTACTTCAGTTTCAAACTTGTGATGCATTTAACATGTTTGACAGAATCAACACTGACAACCACTTCCATCTCATCGTTATATGCGCAGGCATGATGTACCAAGCCAAAACAGCCTATATTGAGTGGGGTACATTGAGCGCTTTCAACCCTGCATGACACTGGAGAAACCAGCCAGGTGCTCCATTTAATGGCTCTAGCATGAGACTGGGGAACTTGGGCAGAGGAGGACAAAGACAAGCAACCGTCTCATGGAGGATTCTCTGTTGATAACATTCTGGAGGACAGAGTCTAAAGGAAATGACAATGAAAAAAAGAGCAGTAGTATAAGGCATTGCTGTGTGTACTCGGCTTGACTCACTGAAAACAAACTATTTACTCCTGTACTCAAAAGTGTCTACTCTTTGCTTGGCAGACTGGATACTTAATGATTTAATGAATTCATGGTATCATGTGTAGATATAGGAGTAATTGGACAGTATAAAAAGAAGTAAAGAATTCTTTAAAATAAATCTCTGGTACATCTGATATCTCACTAAACCACTGCATAACTGTCTTAATCCTCTTAATTTAAGCTAGATACTATAGTTTGTAGAAAAGGTTCAATGATAAAAATGAAAAAGTTGTGGCCAGCTGCCCCCAAGAACTTTCTTTGACATTTACAACTACATGTCTTTTATTATGTGTGCAAATTATAAAGAATTGCCACGAAAGCTCTTGTGCGTAAGCATGTTTATTTGATGGCTTAGTAGTATAAAACAAGGAATATTGATCCATTGAAGCCTATAAAAATGTATACATTTGAACATTTGTCTATTTTCCACCCCATACTCATTAAGATAATGCTGTACAAATCAACAAATAGCTCTCAGTGGAGACCTGAACTTGACAGCTCGGTCTGAGAGGTTACATAACGCATACATACATACATAGATAGATAAACATGAGGGCTTTGGGAATAACTTCACATATAACTTCTGTGGTGTTTTTAGAGAGGTATGGTAGTTGCTAGATACACTTGGTATACACTTTTGAAACACATTTACTCACTGTATTCATGCCTTTTGAACTGCAACCAGTGAGTTGGGTCAGCAACCATCAGTGACTGACAATGCAGAAAATCCACTAATGGAGGAATAAAATACAAGAAAATGCTGGACTATTGTTTGTCACTGGCTAGACAGACTGTCTACAAACAATGAATGAACCCCCCAGGATTTAAGGATCTAATAGATATATTTATTGAAGAATCATCATAGACAGATTCTAACTAAATCTGGATCAGTGCATGTGTGTTTATATGTCCCAGCACTTAAAAGTTTTTGTCCAGCTGCAAACACACTAACTGAGCCACTGGTCACATTGTGGCATGGTGAAGCATTTGTAAGCAACATTACAAAAAAAAAAAAAAAAAATGGTTAAAGTGGTTACCCTCATGAGGGCGCTATAAACCTTGGTCAAACTTACAAAGTTTACACAAGCCGTCCAATAATTATGAAAGTAAGAGGGAAGAGGCCTGCGTCATTCGATGAAGATGAGCTGTTCGTGTGGCTTTAATGCACGTACATGACCCAATACTTTACTAACTGCCTTTTCTCATTGGAAATGAGTACTGTTTTAAAGTTGTGAATGTGAATGTGAATACAGACATAGTTTATAGTTATAGTTTGTATGGAGGTTATTGCAACATATAGTCCCATTTTGTGCCTCTCATGTATTATTACTTCAAAACAATGGTAAGTGTTGTTAAAGGACCTTCTGGGTTTACAGAAAAACTCAAATGTAATGATAATACATGATAGGCACAAACTAAAACTACACATTATGAGAACTTTGTGTAAACAAAGATGTCTTGTGTTGCGAGTGCTGGCTCAGATGTGTGAGGTGTAAAGGTAGGTGTTGTTGATGGTCCAGTTAGGGGGGAAGTCCTGCACTGCGTGACTCTTGATGTGTCTCTGCATGGCGACCAGGCTGCTGCAGAATTCCAGGCACACCGTGCACTGGTATGGCGCTGCCCCGCCATGAGTCCGCAGGTGCTTGATCATGGCTGAGTAGTCCCGTGAACGCTGGCCACAGAGACGACACTCGAAGGGTTTCTCTCCTTGAGAGAGAAGAGAAAAGGGGGGGGGGGCACAGGAAGGAAGGCAGTAGAGGGAGGGGCTCACTTTAGAGAGGGTCTGAAACCTTTAGGTGTTTTTCAGGCATAAAAAGTGCATTTTACTATTGAGAGATTTAGAGTAAAATCAACTCAACAGGGTCACACTTTATCTAGATGCAATAATGGCAGAGTATAATCCAGATTTAACAGTTACAAGTATGTCCCATTAAATCCGGTCTTCTCTTTAATTGTATGTTGATGACACATAAACAGCATTGGTTTAATAAAACCAGAGCCGTAGACATGACACGGAAACACGAAGAGGTCTTATCATTTCTTATATTTTGACAGACCGCTAACACACGACTCATAGACGTAACAATGCCTAAAGTAGGTCATGGCTTGAGTGTATATTTATACTTTGGAGCCAACGGTTTTTGTTCTCTAGAATTCAAAGGCTTTACAAGGTCTCATTCTCTAATAGATTCGATCAGTTATGACCAAAATGTGGTATATTCTTGTTTTTAGTTAGCTTCGATAACATAGTTAAGAACACAGATATGTGTGATATGTTTTGTACATGAGCAGATGCAATCTTGCTGAAACACATTTGAGCTATTAAAGTCAAGGGGTTTATAAAATAATTCAAATGAGTTTGTTTGTCAGATGGAAGAGTAAATCATGCCTACATGGGTATCGACGCATTCATTTTGAAAAAGTTTATCTATAGGAAAATAAATATTTGAAAGCAAAACAGAATGTCTGAGAGCCTTATTGCATTACATTACAGACATGTTTAAACCAAACCTTTGTCCTTGAGATAAATACATATCATTCTGAACCAAAATCTTTTGAAAATCTGTGTGTGTGTGTGTGTGAGAGGGAGACTGTTTGATAGAACAGTTAGATACGATAAGATAAAATATATGTAAGGATTGCATCTTTCAGTTTAAGGACAAATTCATATTTAAGTTTTAGATGTCAGGAAACATAAAATTTGCTCTTGAAATATTGGTTTCAGAAGTGATTTGCATTTTATCGGAAAAAGTGGCCTTTTTCGAAGGTGTGTTTAGCGCCATTTTTGTGGTTTAGCATGTTTAAAGCAAATTACAACAAACGATCTTGTATAATTTATATTGTTGCCAGTCTTTTTTTTTGTTTGTTTAAATGTGCTGTGGTGTTTAGGCCACTGGTTTCCATCACTTACACTCCAGCATCCAATTTGTATATGATCACTATAATTGACATAGGTAATCCATCACAGTCAATATTTTGCTCCATGTTGCTGTGACTGTTAAAGCCATCATTGCATGGTAATACAGCTGTAAGAACACACTCACTTGCACTCACACTTCAGTTGCATTGCCGTATAGAAATAATGTAGCTTTAAAAGCTGTTAAAGTTCCATTGATTAATGGATTGGATTTTACGCAAGTTTCAGGTCTGCAAGTTTCAAGTTGCTGTAAGGTGAGTGTATAGTATTAAAATGAGTAGAAACTGTCAAAGAAACAGCGCTTTTTCAAACATCTGTGAGAGCCGATTAAAATGAAAATTAGTCATAAAGTCCCTCGTCTACCATTAACTTGCCGTTCTTTTCTGACAACTAACTTGTCGGATGTAGCTTTAGAGACACGTCGCTCTCACTTAAACAACCTCAGACCAATCCCTCTATTGTTACTTTTGAGCAGTTTAATGCAATTTGCTTTTAAAAGTCAAAGTACACAAATGCTTTTGTACTTATCTGGCTCTTTTTACCTGATGGCCCACTTTGAAACTAAATTTAAAGAAATATATTGAATATTGGAATTCATTTGGGGATTATTTGTAGTTTTTTTTCTAATGTCCTACAACAGATATTCTTTGCCCCCATTGTGGGAAGGCGTAGTCTTAAATCCTAAAGTGTAATGTTTAACCATTGAGTACTCGCAAGTTACTCAATGTTCTCTCTTTTCAGAAAAAAATAAAAATAAATGCTATTTACAGTCATTTCTGACAAATTATGAACAGTGTGAGTAAGTAGACCCAAAGCGCTTTTGTCTTGCACTGCCGATTAAATAGTGTGCTTACCCGTGTGAACTCGGTGGTGTGTATCCAGTTGATGTTTCAGACTAAACTTCTTGGGACAGTGCTGGCACTGGTAGGGTTTTTCCCCTCTGTGTTCTTGTCGATGGGATTGTGGTTCATGCTGCACAACATCTCCTCTTCCACAGAACCGACACCCTGCACAGGTCCCACCTGTGCAAACAACAAGATGAAGGAAACAGGTGAAGGTGTGATCTTGTGGTGGGCAGTGTGACCTAACGAAAATTTCACTTAAAAATATATTTTGTGGTTAAATTCCTGCAACAACCAACAGTCCTGCAAAAGTGTTACTGAGTATGGACCCCCCATGTTCAGTCATGTTTAATATTACTATATGAGTTCATTAAAAGTGCAATTATTGTTTTCTGCCTTTATGTTCTTTCTTTCATTCTTTGTATTGTCATATGTTAGTCCTCATATTCAAGTGCAATGCCATCCACAGGCCCCCAGAATGACCAATTAAAAAGTGAACAAAACACATTTTAGAGCTGCAGTGACTAGTCGATTAATTGATTTGTTGATTGGCGGGATATTAATTGGCTAATGATTTGATAAGCGATTAAACGTTTAAGTCCCTTGTTCTAGCTTCCCCAGTGTGCTTTTCTGCTTTTCAGTTTTATATCATTGTAAATTGAATATCTTTGGTTTTTGGATTATTGGTTTGATATAACAAGACACTGGATTACGTCACCTTGGGCTCTGCATTTTTCACTGCTTTCTAACATTTTATAGACTAAATTATTAATTGTTTAATTGAGAACGTAATCAGCAGATCCGTCGATAATGAGACAGTGCAGTTTTTCCATTCTTGAAGTAGCACTCACTGACTCACCTTGATATAGTACCAATTATCAAAAATAAACTACAGTTTATTTTACAATAGTATATTACTTCGATATACATTATTTTATTCACCTTTCAGAAGCAACAACAAGTATATTTTCGGTCAGCATCCTGTTGCAAGACAGTACATTCAGCTTACTTTCCTGTCACTCTGCACAAGTGTCTCCTCTGCAGCTACTTAGTGATTCTTAAAAAATTACAAAGGTGTGATTTTGAGGTTTAAGTAGCAACTCTGAAGCCTTTCGGTACCTTATATTTTTTTTAGGGTTTCTTAGGTGAAAACTTGGCCTCATAGTATAGACAGGATGCTGAAATAAGAGGTGGGACTGTAGTAGGGGAAATCGAGAGAATGAGAATAAACCACAACAATTGAACACTCACCACTCTAAACACAACCTACTGAGACCTGTTGTCATTAGCATGTTTCCTGTCCAATATTTCTCTTAAGTTTTCACTTTAAACCTAACGTCTTATATTTTTCATCTTATGCTTATGCTTTTATTTTCAGTAATATAGTAATATAATATAAGTTAAAAATAAAAACAGGCGCCTGAATGCTACATTTATATATTTACCTTTCGTTTATGTGCTTTTACACATTTTATAGAAAGATTTTCAATTGCTTGAGTAGTATTATTATATACTTCATAGTACATTTCCTAAGTTAGTACACTACTTTCAATGCAGTTAGCTGCGTGGTTTTACTATAGCCTAATCTTTTAAAACATGAACATAATGTTCCAGTAAGCAGAGATATTAAACATCAGATAAACCATGTTTATCAGCTTGATTGTACAAGCTGAACTATCATAATCACATATGCATGTAAGCACATAGACACACGCAGAATGTTGGTTTAGCTATTTTTTTGTGTCATTGCAGTGACTTACATTCATATTATAGTATTAATTGTATTATAATAAATCAATATATTTTTTTTTGCAAGGGACAAACCACTGCTGTGATGCAGTACATACTGTACTGCATGTATCTAGCTGTATCTAGTAACCACAGTACTGCTCCTGCTGCACCATGCTCTCAAAACCACAACTCTCTTTATCACTTTCCATTGCGTAGCTACGTCGCTGGAGTCTGCCGAGGTTAGGGGTCATGACAAGAACTGTCTTACTATCACGTTAAATTAATTGTAGATTGATTGGTTCTACACACAATATCCACTGCTACAGCTTTGATCTTATTGCATAGTAATAATAGCGTGTTCAATGTGTTGTGAAGTGAAAAAACAGAACATTTTCTGTTTGTCATAATCATATCATTACCCGATGGTGTGGAGGCTGACTCCCGCCGCACTGGATCACCAGGGAGGCTTTTACTGCAGTGTTGGCAGTCTTTAACCCTCTCTGTGCTGGCTTTGGGTACATCATGGAAACTGTGGAAAATACATTTTCTGATGAAAACATTACACTAGTTGTGCCTTTAACAATGATAAAGAAACTGCTTTTATTTGTGTTATAAAGAGATACTTCATTAGTGAAATACACATCAAGTCAAAGTCTCACGGTCTGCATGTATTTTACAACTTAAAGTGTTATCACAGATTACATCCTTAAACACCCTTTCCTTCCTCTCCATCCACAACCACAAGATATTTATAACGTTCGCTCTGAGTAAAAGCTCATCTAACTTTTATGTGTGAAAGTAGAAGGAACAGGATAATGAAGTCACACTGAAGAATAGCTATTTTTTTCCACAAATACACTTATATGTTTTGAACAATTTCTTGTGGTACAGTCTAAACACTGAATCTGTGTTTCTGTGGGTGGAAAATCTTGAATTCTGCAAAGGAGGGGAGAAATTTAGGGGGCTCCCCTTTACACACTGTTTAGTTACACTGTGTAAAACACTGTACAGTATGCATAGGTTTTAAAAAAGAGGTTAAAAAAAAATAGGTAAAATTCCCCCCAAAAAACTACTTAGTATCACAAAAGGACAGTGGTACATTTATCCTGAATTAGAACAAAGTATGATTTGTTTTAATCCAACAAAAAACTGTTCAAATTTATATTTAGACTTATTGGAAATATGTATGTCTTATGTTCTTTTGAGTGGTTATAGGTCTAAAAACTAGGATGATATGTTAAAAAAAATAGTTTTGACTGATTAGGACTGGCAGGGAAGGGTTAAAAGGTGAAACTGCTCTAGTTGGAAAGTGCAGGAGGCCTGATCACACACATCTACCCAAGCAGCATGAGTCAGGTAGCTGTAGATGTCGCAAGGGAACAACTGAGCAAATTAGGGGGTTCTTAAATGAGTCTATGAGAGGAAAAAATAGGGAGACAATGACTGAAAATAAAAAACTGAAGTTTCCAAAATCATGTCCAAGTGTAGACTTACCTCAGTTCACTGGTTTGAACGTTCCCAGTAAATGATCTCGGGCTGGGTTTTTTTCTTTTTAACAGGCCTTGCTTGATTATGTTCCCCATACCTGTAGATCCAGCATAAAGGTTTGGTGTATAACGTGGATGAAAGGCTGAGCAGCCCATTACAGAGCTTTGAAAATGGGAGCCAAGTAGGGGGAACATGTGGGGAGTGCTGAGGGAGAACGGGTATGCTACAGAGGTCTGGTTTGGAGGCGTAAGGGGGTGACCTGCAACTAAGTTTGAATAGTCTTTTGCTATCCACCTCAGGGTGTTCACAGAATTCCACATGTTTGTAGGGAAAGGCCAGGGAGAGGAGAAAGAGGAACTGCTGCTGGTGGGCCTTGTAATGACACTGTCTCTGTTATAGGGTGATGCTGACACGGGGGACACTCTGGGCTTCTTTCTTGAGGATGGCAGATTGTTGTGGTTCTTGACAGAATCAGAGGGTGAAAGGTTTTCCGTGACAATGCTGTTGCTTGCCTCCTCCACTGGGGGAGAAGTCGTTCCGAGTTTCTCCTCTTGAACTGGACTTCCTTCTCGCTTTCGACCTGTCTGCTTTACACTTTCTTCTTCTTCTTCTTTGACATTTGTGATTTCTCTTTGTTTGTTCTCCCCTCTACCTCTGTCGTGGAGATTGTCCAGCTGCTTCTGGCACTGGTCCTCCAGCAGCTGCATCTCCAACAGCTGAGCAGCTCTCAGTAGCAGGTGCAGGTCGTCCACAGACACCTCAAGAGTCTGTGTGTAAGTGAAGTCCAGAACTTGCTGGAAGGTGCGGGGTGAGAAATACTCCAGAGTGCAGTGGACTGGGCTGTCTACGTCTCCTAGAGCTAGCTGCTGTGCTAATCTTCTGCTAGCACAAGCCAGTACCAGCCGATGGGCCCTGAAAGTTTGACTCTTTACTGAGATTATGGCATCACAGAGTGACCCTGAGCGACGTAAGGCATCCGCTTGCTGCAAGAAGTGGAAGTATTGGGTGTTGTTGATTCGGATCATTTTTGAAGTTTGTAGAAATATAATCAAAAGTCTGATAAGAGAAAGTCAAAGGAACAAAACAAATCAGAAAGAGATCCCATGAGATTATGCCCACACAACTTTTTTCCATTTATTTACCAGGTATGTGACATTTCTAGAAATGCTAAGTTGTAAGTAGGAAAATCACTTTGCAAATCAACAGCAGGGATTGGCTTGTGATTAACAGATATGTTTTTCTGTGGTTTGTACAGTTTTTTTCTCCATAATTTCCAGACAGCATTACCTGTAGTGAGAGTTGAGGGGGCAGAAGAATGTACCCGAGGTGATTTTTTAATTTGTTTATATTGTGACATGTTGGTCAAATGGTTAACTTCATTTTCAACTAGTTTGCAGAACATTTTATAAAATGGCTGAGAATTTTGACTTCAAAGCCAAGTATTTATATCTTCATGAGCAGTCGCATTCACACATTGTCTTTATTAGACTCTCCTCAATCACAACCATGTCTGATATCGTGTCTGAATGTCTGGTTGATGTGTGGAAATGTACTCAGTTTTGTCAAAGCTTTGATATTCGTAGCTCACATACACACGCTAAAGCCACAAAGCCTTACCAGTATATGAAACCATGACTAATGACTGTACACACAAGTAAACACAAGTAAAGTTTGAACATCAACACAATAAGACACGATAAACATCAAATGCATGAGTTTGCAGGTGTGGAACATGTAAATATGTAAGTATGTCATAGAAATATTTGGAATTTCATATCTAAAATAGAGAATACATGGATGACAACGCTGACACTGTGTGTCGAAACTACCGGATGCCTGAGAAGTTGTCATCTTCACACAGTCTGAAGTCTATAATGAACTTTTATGATTATACAGTGTGTGGTCGGTTTCTGCAGCAGAGGTCACAAATACTGTGAGCTATTACAGAAGCTTTTTTTTGTTGCACAAATGCAACCCCATTCGGTCCTCTGATGGTGACTGTAAATGGAAAGTAGATGTGAAACGAAATGACAATGACACGTTACTGGAATATGTTTTAAATTAGCATGCATATCTGCACATTCTCTATATCTTTCTGTGTATCGTTAATCAAAGTAATTAATTGAAGCTACTGGGAAATGTTGCACCAAAGACTAATAATAAAAAATCATTTCTGGATTATTTTATTTATAATTCAAACAAAATAGCACATAGCACTGAGAGTGAAAGTGACAGTAGAGCAGCTCCAGTGTCATCACTTAGATTTACTGTATTTGATAAGTGTCTAACAGCAAGCTTAAGGTTTCACTTTAGTATTCATTTATATATGTGTATATATATATATATTTTTTTTTTAAAGTCATTACATTGACAAAAAAGTGTAATCTTGCATGCACTGTGTTGAGATCACGTCAGAAGATTATAATGCAAATCAAGCATGCATCAGTTCGTTGAGGCCTATCGTATGCGTGTATGCGTATATTAATATGAAGCGGTAGACCAATTTACATTGACGGCTGTCAAAAGCTGCCTGATCAAAATTGATATTTATTATTTGCTTACAAAATACATCAAAGTGACATTAAAAAAATATATATTTTTTTCCCAATTAAAAAGACTTTTGTACAGTACGCAATTATGCATTTTGTACAGTAGTCATTTTTATTTATATGAATTTCCCTTCCCTTTAAATAATTTTAATTATTTAAATAACAATAATAATGCTATTATTAATATATAATGTTGTAATTGGGTTAGTAGTCATAGTAGCAGCACTATGACAATAGCAGTTTGGATTTATATGGTATTCTACACTGCATAAACATGTTAATTTATGTGCGATAAGATGTCATGTGTTTTTGTGTAATATACAAACTTCAATACAATCCTTATAGGTATGATCTCTTTTCATTTGCTGAGCGTGTGGAGCGCCAATCCATAAACTTAAGTTTAAACTGTTAGATTGTATTATCAAATATTGCTACTCACAATTATATGATGAACTTGACATGTATGTTGTATAATGTTCAATTATGCGTTTAAGTAATGCATGTTTTGGTGCTCTCCTGAGGCTGCTGATCTATAAATCAATTCTTCTTTTATAGTCTCTATTATTATGGTCCAAGTCCTTGCCAAACATATCTAAATCTTTAGAATACATTTGATTTTGTAATAAACTGGCTTATGCAATAGTCAAATTCCCCCGATGCTGCTCAAATGTACAATGCACTCTTGCAGAGTTGTGACATAGCTAGCAGATCTTCAAGCTTCTTGCACTCACAATACTATCTCAGTGCTTACAAAGGGGGAAAACCATGCATGCATATGTCAGATTTACACATCCTTTGACAGGACATGAACTTACAGTCTGCCTCCCCACAGCTCACATAAAGGACTGGAGTCACAAGAGAAGAGAAGCCTGAGCTAAAAGTCTCCATGGGCAACAGAAGATCAATAGTGGCGCGCTAGGAAGTGTTCAGGGTAGATCACAGAAAACACAGTAAAAAAGACCAAAGATGAGCCATGATAAAGTGAATCTGCTTGTGGTTTAAAGTCTCAGAAACGTAAGAGGCAGAAAACTGTGTGAATGAGACACTTACCCGGTGTTTAGTGAATATTCTCCCTGGAGAATGACGAGCTACCTCGCATCATGACTGTGTGTGAAGTGACTTGTAAAGAGACATGTCTGTCTGGGTACAGGTTTTGGTGAGGGGCAGGGTGATTTCCTCCTTTGTCTTTACAGTCCCTCCTCTTCAACTCTCCCTCATTGGTTCATTGATTATGGTGCTAAATGGTTTGCTTTTTGATTTAAAAGACTAAAAAAATATTACCTTCACAAACCAGTTTTTTTTTGTTTGTTTATTTTGCTTAAAGCTAAAAGATAGACAACTAAAATTTATATTGCATGCAAAGCACAAAGTAAAAAGAAGTAACAATAAAAGTAATGCATTTTTGTTTTGCAGGGAGGGGTCTGGGTGATTGAGAAAGAGGGACAGAAATGAGGACAGTGGTTTGAGGGATGTTTGCGTGCCCTATGATGTTGTATACCAATACATGCTGTATATGATTTCCTCCCCTCCAGCATCACTTGCTGGTCACTACATTAATAGGCTGTTCTATGCTGAGACAAAAACCACTTCAAAGACTCTGATCTGTGACAGGAAACATACAGGCAAAAGGCCAGTGGTACCGATATGTAGGCTAGGCTTCACTGAAACCTGCTCCCTTGAAATAGAAATATCTGCTTCGCCCTGTTGATATGTTAGACCTCAGTGTGAAAACCTTTTAAAAAGGCCAACTAGGCCAACTGTAGAGAGCTGGTCAGTTAAGCAGACCACGATGGTTGAGTACATTATGACTCCATTGTTTGCCTTTAAATTATGAATTATCAAGCAGTGATAATAATGTATCTTTAAACTAGCTTTGATTCACAGCCTATTTATTATTATACCTCTACAACTATGTACTCTTCTGGCTATATTTTGAGCAGACATGTACTACATCACGGTCACATGATTTCATCAGTTGACAGGACAAGAGGCAGGACACAGGCTTGGCTGGTGTTCAGTGCTGTTTAAGTCAAGTTTGAAGCACTACCAACAGGAAATGTGTCTGTCTCTGAGGCAGTGGACAGTTGTTGCACCCAGAAAAACCTATGTTTAAATAAAAAATATATAGTGAGTTGTTCCAAGTGTGAAATTCAATCTCAAAAACATTATTAATATGATATCATTTCATTATAATATGTGGGTATTTATACAATCATTTTGAAAATGTGCAAACTTACTATCTGTATCTTACTAAGTATTATGCTATTTGTACAATCCAGACAAAGTTAGCAATTAGGTCGCAAATATCTAGCATATAGCAGCTAAAGAGCCATCTATTTCCCTAAGGAGTTGGTGGAGACCAAAACAGAGCTAAAAGGAGAGTAAATGTTGGACTTGCATTCATCATGTCGCCAGAAACACAGCTCCTATTGAATCTTAATGTTGCTTTGTGCCTGCTGGATTAGCAAGTGTTGCCTAGAGTCACTGGTATGCAGGTTAAAGTAAAGTGCTTCTGACCCAAGTGGCCAAAAGGTGGCCCCACTATGGAACTACAATAATGGAACTTGAAACAAGAAAATGTAAAACTCCAAAGAAAACCTCAATAGGCAAAGCAACTACAAAAAAAAACAACAAAAACATTAGAAGACCTCATAAAAAGAGAATGCATTTGGCACAATCAGACATGTTGTTGGTGTGGGATGTAGATTACTAACTGAAACAAAAACTAAATTGAAAACTGCTTTCTGCACTTTCCTTTTCAACAGCTGGGACAGACTCTTGCCAATAGATTGCAATTGGAGAGCAGATGGTGGAATTTCTGATGCAATGAAATCTGATTAATAGGAGAGAGTGTAAGCTCTTGTATCACATGGCAAAAGCCTTTTGAAGTATGGTATGAATTGGACAGCAGCAGATAATAGAATGGTGTTATGTGATAAAATGTTATTGTCCATTGTTCAAGGTTTTGAAAAACAGCTTTTTTGTATGACTATTATTGTTACTGTAAGTTTCTGTGTTTGTTGTTGAAAATGTATCATATAAGTATCAATATCTCTGTGTTTTGATTCAGGAACAAGACATTTTATGTCTGTTGTTTAATTTTAACATAATATATATAGAGTGTCATCAGCATAGTTGAGAAAATGACTGGAGAATACAATGCAGTTCTGGCTAAAAAGACAAAAGGTTATCACGGTTGATCTCATGCAGGCTAAGGTTGACCAAACAAAAGCTGTGTGCTAGTGTGAAGGAAGACATTGGTCAGTTAAGTGTAGCTTAAACGGTAAATGAAAACATCTAAAACAGAGCAGTGTGTAGGATTATCTAATGGTAAATTTGCAGATTGCAACCATAATAATTATCACTCCCCTTCTGTGCCATTGGAGAAACTACAGTGGCCTATTTCAAGCCAGTGTTTGGTTTGTCCATTCTTGGCTACTGTATAAACTCTCATTACAATGCTGTTGGTTTATATGAGCAGTTTTTGTCAGTGATATGTGAGTGTTCAGGGGAAGAGATGGCCTTGATTTTCACTAACCCCATATACTCTCTACTCTCAAAGGTTTACTTACCAAGCTCTGATAAAGAGAGAATATTATAATATAATATTATATGATATATTATGTGATATATAATAATATATTGCAGTTACATAAGTAACTGCAATATACACATACACATACACATTCTACACTGATCAGCCATAAGATTATGAGCACTGACAGGTGAAGTGAATAACACTGATTATCTAGATATCATGGTACCTGTCAGTGGGTGGGATATATCAGGCAGCAAGTGAACATTTTGTCCTAAAGGCTGATGTGTTAGAAGCAGGAAAAAAAGGCAGCGTTAGGATTTGAGTGACTTTGACAAGGGCCAAATTGTGATGGCTAGATGACTGGGTCAGAGCATCTCCAAAACTACAGCTCTTGTGGGGTGTTCCTGGTCTGCAATGGTCAGTACTATCAAAAGTGGTCCAAGGAAGGAAAAGTGGTGAACCAAAGACAGGGTCATGGTTCACTGATGCACGTGGGGAGTGAAGGCTGGCCCGTGTGGTCTGATCCAATGGACAAGCTACTGTAGCTCAAA